ATGATACAAGTATAAAACTAAAAATAAGAGTAAAATTAGTTTTTGATCAAAGTTTCTATATTTTCATTTCAATTTATCTTGTAGAGATTCAATAGACTTCTAAGGAGTGGGTATAAACTTGAGATTCAATAATTATGTAGAGATTCAATAGATTCAATAAGAAGGAATGAAAATTTAAAAATAATATGCTAACAGCAATTTTAAACCTTAATTATACAAGTATAAAACTAAAGAAAGGAGTAAAATTAATTTTTTTTATCAAATTTTCTATATTTTATTTTAATTTAACATGTAGAGATTCAATAGACTTCTAAACAGTGGGTATAAACATAAAAGCAAACATACACACTACTGACATCACAATCTTAACGTACAGTTCATCAAGTTAAACAATCAAAATAAAAAATGAAAGCTTCCTAAACGAAATATTACATAATTAATTTTTAAAGATTTAATTTAGATGATCTTGAAAATTTTCTTATAGACAACAAGTTGATTTAGTTGTACTCAAGTATTTTTTTTACTTGTGCTTGAATACTAGAGTACATCAATAAAATATTGTTGTACATAATGAAGCTTTCATTTTTTTTTTTACTTAATTTTAAATTTTTTTGTCTTTTTTCTCAAGAAATTTAGGATTATAACCCATACAATATTATGGAGCCTTATCCTACTATACAATAATGTTGCATTGATTCTACACCTATACTTCTCAAGCACAAGTCAAAAAATAAAAGTACTACCAATACAATATGATAATGCATAAAACTAATAAAAATTGAAAGTGTAAGCTTTCATTTAGGAAGTTTTTATTTGTTATTATGATTATTTTACTCGGTGAATTAGGGAACCTCTCTCTTTCGTACAACAATGTTGCATGGGTTCTACTCATGTATTTCTTAAGCAAAAGTACAAAAATATATCAGTACATCCAATACAACATGATTGTACATAAAAAAAGCTTAAGATCGCTTGATCTAAAACCATTAAAAATTAAAACTACAAGCTATTAGTTCTTAGTTTTGATTATTTTGCTTGATGAATTATGCAGTATTTCTCTTCTATACAATAAAATTGTCATGGTTGTACTCTTATATTTCTCAAGCTCAAGTCAAAAAATACTAAAGTACATCAAATGTGACATGATTGTATAGAAGAAAATTCTCAAGAACACATGATCTAAAGTCGTTAAAAATTAAAATTGCAAGATTTCAATTGAGGAGTTTTAATTTTTTTTAATTACTTTGCTAGTAAATTATATTGTCTTTCCCTTATATATAATAGTGTTATTTGTTGTACTCATTTGTTTCTCAAGCGTAAATATAAAATTAAATGAGCACAACCAATGCAACATGGTTGTACAAAAGAAAATTTTCAAGATCACCTCATCTAAAAGCATTAAAAATGAAAACAACAAGCTTTCATCTTTTTTTTTATTGCTTTACTCGGTGATTTACACAGTCTTTCTATTTTATACAACAATATTGTACTAGTTGTACTCATATATTTCTCGAGCAAAAGAAAAAAACTATATGAGTACAACTAATACAACATGATTGTATAGAAGTAAATTTTTAAGGTCAACTGATTTATAACCAATATAAATAAAATTGTGAGCTTTCATTTTTTATTCCAATTATTTTACTCAATGAATTATGCAGTATTTCCTTTCTGTCCAATAATGTTGTATTGATTATATTCATATATTTTTCGAGCATAAGTTTAAAAATACTAGAGTACAACTTGGTTGTACAGAAGAAATTTCTCAAGATCGCTTGATCTAAAACCAATAAAAATAAAAAATGCAAGCTTTCATTTTGCACAAGCATGTTGGATTACAGTAGTTGACTTCTTTTGTGCAACAATGTTATGCAACTGTATTTCTTTCTTTTAACATTCATTTGCTCTAAAATGTCCATCATCATCTTGGTGCAACCCCATTGATGGGTGCCTTTTGCTAAAAATAAAATGAATTACTATTAATGCAATTCATCGTTAGCATCTAGAACATGAATGCATCGGTCACTTTAATTCCTCCTTGCATCATTAAATATAGTACACCTGTATTATCTTCAATGATACTCCCATGTGATTTTAACAGATGTTTATTACTGGCATAACTAATGAATGGTTGTTATTTTCTATAAATTTATTAATAATTCAGTTATCTAAATAATCAATAACAAAGCTAATCATTCCATGACAAACAATCCTAACATATGATTTCTACTCCTTCACTGTGGTATTTAGATTGGGTCATTTCTTAAAATCAGCCTTTGAGCACACAGAACTTATTAATTTTATAGTCCTTATATTTGGCTAGTAAATGACATGATCCTTTCGAACGCTAAGTCCATAAAAAAATGTAGAAGTGTTAAACTGCACATAGGAGACCTTTTTAATATGAACAACTGTACAAAAGATTTCTTTTGTAATTGGTTTTAACTTTTTATGAAGTGTATCAATGCTTGCAAGTTGTCACACCAGGAACTACACATTCATGAGTTTGTTGCCCTTTTAACAAACTTGATGTAAGGGTACAACTAATTCAATGGGGATGTAGTACATGAAATGCTGGATAATAACTGTAGAAAACTTCCAAATAAAATATTTATATGACAATTAAATTCAAGTTCAACAATTCTTGTGTATAGAGAAATTTGAAAAGTATTCAATAGACTATGTTAAATAATCAGTGAGAAAACGAATGGTGTGCACCATGTCAAACTCAAGAAGTACAGTAGTGTAACTAATTCAGCATAATTGTGCTCTAGGAAATATTATAGGCAATAAAACATTCCAAATTGAAATACAAGCTTCCTAAAGCAGACTTTTCATCAGCTTTAACAAATTGGTTGCATAAAAACATAGACTTGCTCTTACATTTTTTGAGTAAAAACACAAAATTGAAAGTTTACAACGAATAATTAAAAAACATTGCCAATAGACTTTACTAAATAACCAATGAGTAAACTAATAGTGTACAATCATATAAAACCAAAGAATTATCATAGTATAACCTATACAACATAGTCGTAATCTAGGAAATATGTTATGTGACATGCAGTAAAATATTACAAATTGAAATTCCAAGCTTCCCACTCTAATAAATTAGTTTTGTAAGAGCACAGACTTCCATGTTTCTTGAGCACAAACTAAAAAAATGTAGTAGTGCAACAAATACAACATTGTTATAATAAAAAAAATGTTATATACTCCATGCACTAAAATACTCTAAATTTAATGTCCAAACTTTCCAAAGCAGACGTCAGTTGATCTGACTAATTGGGTGTGTAAGAAAATGATTTTATTGAAGCATTTTGTCAGTAAAAACCAAAGAAATGTATTACAACCAGAACAAAATGATCTTACTTTATGAAATGCTAAATTATTACAAGCAGTGAACCACTTCAATCTTACTTTATGAAATGCTAAATATTACAAGCAGTGAACCACTTCAAAAAAAAAAAAATCCTCAATGCAAAATTCATAAAAATTTCTTAATGCACAATCTTACAAATTAAATATCATAACAAAACTGTGTTTAAAATCTATCAATGAGTTCATGCCTATAATATCGTCACTATAGTCTTTCAAATTAAATATAATAACAAAACTGTGTTTAAAATCTATCCATGAGTTCACGTCTATAATATCATCACTATAGGGAGAAACAGAGATGACCACCAAACCGATCAAGTTATCAATTTATTTGTTCTCCATCCTCATGATTTCTTCCTCTTCAGAGTTTTTATTTTTCTTTTGCTTCATTTTAGAAAATGAAAAATGTTTCAAACCTAAACTCTAAAGATTGAGAAATATTTATGTATTTGTTTTCAAATTTCTACAGCATTATTTTTAATACAACATAAAACCTAATCTAGACGGGTCGAGTCGGGCATCGCCGTTACTTTTGAATATATATATATATATTATTTGGAACATAAAATTTTCTCCTTTGAACAAGTGATAGGGACTCCAAGACTGATTGTGTAAGTAGCTATATAGTTTGAATGAATTTCATGTGTTCTCGGGTTTGAAGCTGAATTAGCTGGTCTAGTAGGACGCTTAATGAGTTCTTACTATAGTAAGACAAGCTATTTTAAAATCATGATGAGCACTTGATGACCATGGTAGACACTTGCCTACGATGGCTCTAAATATATTCTAATGAATCTTCCTGAATTCATTCTTCAGCTTGCGTTAGAATGGGCTCAACCGGTTGCTTACTTACCATATTTGGCCTAAGTTTTTGGTTTTGCCGGGAATTTTGAAAATTTACACTTGGTCTTTGGAATGGATTTCTTGATCTTGCCTTTAAGCATACTTCTAGATGAATCCTTATCATTGACATGTTGCTAATCCTATGCTCTCCTTATTTACCTTCCTGCCTTTCTGCCTCTATTTTACTCTCCCAACATTTTTCTGAGCTTGGATGGATCTGATTGTCTATCTGCTGGATACATGTGCTTCAATTCAAGCATTATTTGAACATAACTGCTGTGTGCTTCACTCCACATTTAGAACACTGCATTGACATTAAAGTGGGCTCTTTTCAAACATAATCATTTACAAGCTTCTTTTGGGGTATGTTTACTATCCTAGTAATCTGATAGTATGATCTATTTACGAGGTTGTTACAGTTCGCGAATAATACATGCAATGCTCAGTCTCTCTTTTCGTTGTTCCTGGTCGTTCTGTTGATATTTTTCTTAGGTTTCTTTTTCTTCTGTATGTCTTACATGCTACATGTCATGTTTTGTTTGTTTTTGCTCTATTTATGAGCCATCTTAAATCTATTCTATAATCTTTTACATTTTTTAATGAAAATATTGGATGTCACCCTTCACTCCAAAATAAAGAAAAATTTGTTGCATTCCAGTCTGGTATACTTTGGAACAAGAATTTGTAATTTGTGTGTAAATCTTCATCCTATTTAGAGAATTTTTGTATGTGCATGATGTATTACACAATGACTATAATTGATATTCTAAAAATGATTTTTTTTAACTAGCAAATGCTAGAATAAATCATTAGTCCCACTATGAAAAAAGGCCTGGTAAACTTGGCTCTACTACTGCTTCGAAGTAAAAAAAAAGGGAAAAAAAGGCAGGTTTTGCTTTCATTAAATTCAAAATAATCTACACCTTCTCAATCCCCAGAACTCTGCAATTCCTCTAATCAGGTATAATCCTCCTGTTCAACGCATCCTCAAACCTACTGCACGAATCCACTCTCATCTCTGTGCTCATGTCATTATCCGGCGCCGGGTAATAATCCTCCCTAAGCTGTACATCCCTCAGATTCGGCATCTCCAAAAAAAAACTCATGAAATGTTCATTCGCAGTCCCATGGATGAAGAGCTTCCTCAATGATAAACATCCTCGTATCAATCCAGTTGCTGGAAGTGATAAGCTTCTCCGATTCACCTCCTTGTCTTGAGGTGGCCAGTAGTCCAGCTCACACAGGTTCAGATCACCAATTCCATGGAGATAGAATCTCTCCCACAAGCTGAGATCCATATGTCCTGTGGGAGCCGTCAAAACGTAGCCAATGGCTTCCCCACAATCAAGCTTCATCTTTGATAGCTGAGGGTATAAAGTCAGTGAGCTCAGTCCAAAAACAGGCTGGGTAGGGCGTGTGCAAGTTCTGCAATCACCCTCCACCTTGATGCTTATCTCCTCCAATTCAGGGCAGTTCTCCAGCCCCGATTCTGGTAATGGGCTCAGCACCTCTCCTGCAGGTAGCCACAGCGAAAGAGATCGAAGGCGATTGAATGTCTTGCACCAGAATTCACCGTCACCATTGCTGCAGTTGTCGTTCTGGTCAGAATACCTGCATTTTTTGCTCGACAAGCCTTCGCCATCGAGCTGGAATTCGTCGTCATCACAATCAGGATCATCTGTTGCGACCTCTGGCTGCAAAGTCCCCGGTTTCTCCCAGACACAGTCGATGTGAAGCCGCTCGATGCGGTCTCGAATTGGCCCCAGGGCACGAAGCGATGAAGCTGAATCAAGGTTCTTGCAGTTGGAGATCATCACGTCTTTGAGTGTGGAGCGAAGCGTTGCGGCTAATTTCTTGATCCCTGTTTCGGAAACCATGGCGCAGCCATGGATTTCAAATCTGGAGAGCTGACGGCAGCCCCGAGCAATGGTGGCGAGGCTAGAATCAGAAAGATCATCTGAGTTCTTGATGCATAAATTCCGCAACCCCCCACAGACTGCTACGCCGTCGAGATGAAGCCCAGCTGCTATACATACTCCCTGGAATCGCCCAAGCTTCAAGGATCGGATGCGAGGGCATCGGTGGCTCAGAATTTCCAATGCCGACCCGGAATCTACCACATCATGGCAAAGATCAAGGGTTAGATCTTCAAGAAGCGGTAGTGCTGAAAACAGCCCGATGAGCCCGGCGCGGGTGATACGTGACTCGCCGCGTGGGGTGGTGGTGGAATCAGAAAAATCGCGGGAGGGTGAAAGGGTGAAAGGATCAGCAAGATGAAGCAAGGATAGCTTCGGGCAAGCAGCGGCCACTGCAAGAATCCCTTCGTCACCGACGAAATCGAAAAACCTAGGATTGAAAACACAGGGAACAAGCAACCGGCGGAGATTAGTGCAAAGAACCGCAATCGCAACCAGCTCAGATGATCGGTAACCCTCGGACGCTGCAGAGCAGAGGAGATCGAGATGGGTCAACGACTCAGCAGCCAAAGGGTGAGAAGACAACGCGGCGGGGACATCTTCCGGCCAGCAATAGAACCGTGATAGATCTAAAGATGTAAGATTAGGGCACGAAGAAAGAAGAGGACTGAGATCGTCGCCCGGCTGCTGATTAGGCCGCGGATGCCACCGCACAAGTGAAACGTGCCGGAGATTCGGCCAATTGAGAGCCATGGCCGCGGAGCGAGCGTAGACGGTGAGCGAAACGACTGAGGGGAAAGCTTGAAGGAGTCGGTAGGTGAGAAGATGGAAGTCAGCGGGATGATGACCCCATGGAGAGAGGAGGGAGAGGTCGAGATGAGAGATGGAAGGGAAGCAGTTGGGGAGGAGGAAGAGATCACGGATGTTGCCTCGAAGAGACAGGGATGTGCGTGTAAGACGTTCGAGTGAGCGCCACTTGCTGCAGGTGAGGGAGATGGAGTTGCGCGTGCGGACGTCCCGAACGAGGGAGAAGGTGTGAGAAAGGACGGCGTCGGGGAGGTCGTGGATGTGCGTTGAACGGTCGGTAGATGCAGTGCCGCCATCCGCCATGGGCGAGCTTCTTCTCCAGGAACAGCAACAGCTCGGTTCAGAGGTAGAGGAGCAGGAGGGGTCGATTGGGGACCTATTGGATTTTGTCGGACACGAGAGACCACGTGATTGTCATCCACTCCTCTGCAATCTCTCTCCCCGTTGGCTTCCGCCGAGGGCTAAGTAGTTAAATATTTCCGGCATATTTGACAATTAAAGATTTTTTGAGGGGAGAAAAGTTATTGGGATAATCTTCGATTGAAGTGAAGATAAGCATTTGATTTATTTAAAATTAATATTAAGTATATTTATTTAGTTTCAATTAAAATAAATTTAATAGTTTTATATATATTTCAATGTAATTTATATCGAAAATTTCATAATTAATTTTTGTCAGTGATAAAAGAAAATTACAATTACACATAAAAGCATAACCCTAAAGTTTTTCTTACTAAATTTCACATTTAGGGAATACGTGGTTGCAAGTAAGATTTAATTGTAATGAGGGTTATTAAATCTTATAAATCACATTTAGGTCCGTTTGGGGCAGGTTATTTGGTGTGGATGGGGAGGCGTTTTCAAAATACACCTGATATATTTGGGTAAATTGCGTTTTGACATCTTATGCTTTTTCAAAATGCTAAAAACAACGTTTTCGCACCGCACCTATCTAGGTGCGATGACAGTTTTCTGGCTACGGTCCGGTTTTTCCAAAAAATAAAAAATAAAATTTGTAATAGCCACCACACCTCGCTTATCGACAAATTATTTTTAATCGTCTTATCAGCAGATTATTCAATAAGCTGCAACTGCCCCCAAACAGACTCTTAATAAATCCTGAGTCATCCTGAGGAGTGTTTAAGAATATTAAACCCTGTGAAATTCTACGAAGCTATTTAACAATTTATTTTAGAATTTAAATTTGTTAATTCAAATATGAAATTAATATTATATATTATTTATATAACTATTAATGGAAATAAATTTAATTTACTATTTTAAATTATATTAATAGCTAATTAATTATTTTTAAAGTAAGCAATTACTAATAAGAATTGTCTAAAGATAATTAATCATTGGCTTTTATATTTCAATTTTGACTAATATTAGATAATTTTATGCAATCAACATAAAGAAATATCTATTTTGTTAAATCAATCTTTTAAAACTTTTTGAAACTTGTACATTCATTCTCTACTTTCTGACGAGTGCCACCTCTGTCTCACATTCTCTTCAGCTATACAACTAAGAACCTGAAAACCCAAATCCTCACTCCTTACCAAAACCTAAACAAGCTACCATCAAATGACAATAGAAAAAAGGCAGAAGAGTATAGAAAAGGTATAGAGCTGGCAAGGCTTGGATAAGCCGTGGCCCTAAAAAGATAGAAGAAAAAGAAGAGACTTTTGAGGTAGGTATATCTTTTTTAGTTTTTATCGGCACAATCACTAGATATTGAATCTTCCTTCATTTTTTGAACTCTTCTATTAAATAAATTTGTCAATCCATCATACTCTCAACATTAGTAAATCATGTATTTAGGCCAAATTGCAACAAAATTCGGATTTAAGCGAGAATTGGATTTATGTGCATGAATTTTATAGATTTATCGTAAATCCAACAATAAATTCTAATTAAATGTCTACCAGACTAACCTTAAAATTTTTGTTAAGTTTCTCAAAACACCTTAATTTAATAACTTTTATATTCGTCTAAAACTAATTAGTGTATAAATGATCTACAACAACAACAACAACAACAATAATAATAATAATAATCATCATCATCATCATCATCCATTGCTTAATAGAAACATATTATTTGTTTGTATCATATAAATGTTCACACATAGTAAAAGAAATTCATAAGAGGTACATACATTTCTGAAGTGAAAAATTTAGGGAACATAAGAAGTCATAGATGAAGATATTCATTTGATCCAAAAGTTCATCTAAGTTTTTCTTTGCTCTCGTCTGATCTATTATGGTTTCTACTTTACTTTTTATTTTACCCTTTTTCCTTTCAAAATTATAGTCTTCCCCAAATAACCTCCACTATTGATTCTTATTCCATCTATTTTTACTTAGGGATTTTGTCTTTTATCTGCTAATGAATTTTTCACATTTCCTCCTCTATTCTTGTCCCCCTCCCTCTATTTTAGCTCAACTTGCCTAAATTAGAAATATCTTATTAATTTATATATCCTTACCAACTTCTCTCTCACCTACATTTTATATGCTAAAGATAATGCTTCATTTTCTATGGAAGAGCTCGATGAGGGTTCCAAAAAAATGGATGTTGACCTCACTTTTGGTTAAGGTCTAGTTTTCTCTTTAGTAGTCTAGCCATATGACTTTTCTGTTAACTATTCCTAGAGGAATAGAAAAGGAACCCTCACCATTAGAATTTCTAAACTCTTCTCTGCTCAACTTGAAGTTCCACATATTGGTCATAACCTCTAGCACTTAGTAGGTGGGGACAATATGAGGGAGCTCAAGGAGAGTTCCCATATCAGCATATATATATATATATATATATATATATATATATATATATATATATATATATCAGTTTAAACAACATGAACCCCCACTCACAACCCTAAACCCAAACTTGCTAACTTTGATCCCTTGATCTTTTGGGAGACTCATATAGATGGTCCCATAAACTCACTAGCCCTAGGCTAGGGTTTAGATGAGACACCCAAATTAGAGAATTTTATTGGTCCATGGCTCAAGTATGGTGGTTGTGTGGTTGGCAAACCCAATCCTACTAAAATACCTAATTTAGCCTTTTGCCCCCAAAACCTTCCCTAATTTACCAAACTACACTTAAAACCATAATGTTTACCAAAATCCCAAAAATTACCTAAAATACCTTATTTTGTTCAAAAATCATCTCAAACAATTTGAAACCATCCAAATTGCTCAAACCTCCCAAAATTGCCAAAATTATCAAAATACCCTTGGTGGCCCAAACTTTCCCAAGACCTTCAAAATCATTTTAAATGTCCCCAAAACCAATTTTGACCCTTCAATTGAACCCAATTTGACCAATTTGACTCCTTTTGACCAAAAGTCCCAAATTGCCCTTAAAGGCCCAATTACCCTAATTCACCCCAAATGTTCACCAATTTCATTCCAATTTCTCCTAATTTCAATTCTAAACTCAATTCATCATGAAAAAACTCAATTTAAACCAAATCTCTAACCCAAATGACCCATACTTTAAGCCCAATTTTACCCAAGTCCAAAACCCCTAATTTTACCCCAATTTAGTCATGTCTCCAAATGTCACCAAATTGAATGCCCAAATCCAAAAATTGACACCCAATTAATGTTGAAAACAATTTTTAACATCCCTCTTGACCATTTTGAATTCTCAATTTGGACTTAGCCTAACTCCAAACTAAACTAAACCTAGGTCTAACCCAACATCCTCAAATTGATCAAATGCCCAAAATCCTTCAAATTGAACCTCCAAATCAATTCAAAATCACTCCAAATCTTTTCTAAACTCTTTATGATAATCATCTACACCAAATTTCTCAATCAATTGAGTCCAATGTCATGAATAGCCTAACCCAAACCCAATTTCAAGCCAATTTGACCCAAATTGAACCCATGCACCAAAATTGACCAAGCCATGCCAAATTGATCAATCCAAACCTTCTATAGCTAACTTCTGGACCCTAGTGACGAGGCTAGACTCACCTAAATCCTGTTAATTTGATTCTCCATGGATGCAGATATTTCACCATGACTTGAAATTTTAGCAAGTTGTTGCCTCTTTCTTACGGAACATTCCTTGATTTTTCCAAAGTCAGAGGAGATCTCTACACAGAGATCCATATTTTTCAAGTTTATGACTATTATTTTCATAAATTAATCATAATAATTAGCATGTTGCTTAGAAAATTCCAAGAAAGTTTTGGAAGATTTGCTAAGTCTAGGGAACCCTTTAGAAAAAATTTCATGTGTTAAGAATGCACCTAATTTCCACCAACCCTAAAACATAAAGAAAATTAATTTTGGGTAACACAAAAATCTAAATGACTTGATTTTAATCTCCACTAAGACTCAAAGTTCATACAACTCCCCATAAAAATTTCAAAACATTTGGAGCTCATTTAATAACTCAATTTGATTTTTCAAGTTAAATGACATTATTCGTAGTAAAATGATTTTTTATCATTAAAATATAACTCAAAGAATTATAAAAATTAGTTTTTGGAGTTCTTTATGATCAAAGGGATTTTCTAAAAATAAATTTGAAATTAAATTAAAAATTCCATTTTCAAGTCTATTTTTAATATTTAAATAATTAAAAATGATAAAAATCACAAGAATAATAAAATTCATGAAAATTTTCTAAATTATTTCCTAAGAACTTAGGAATAATTGGAATATTTTTCCTAATTTTCGAAGTGAAGATATTAAATTTTGAAGCTTAAAATAACTTTTTAAAGGCTAAAAATGGGTTTTCACTAAAATGACTCTAAAAATTCAAAGAAAAATAAAAAAAATGTGAAATTTGTTTATTTGTAGAGATTTAATAAAAATATAAAACTTAATTTTTTTCACACTTAAAGTATTTTATAATTAGTAAATACTTCAAAAATGAAAGTAATTCTTAAAATTCAAATATAATTCAATAAATTATGAAATTTGGTCCCAATACTTCTATGGTCTAATTCTATTTCTAGTAAAAATTTCAAGGGACTAGGCTTTGTCTTAGTCAAGTTATAGAATTTTCTTTGAACAATTCTATTTTTGCATTAAAATAAATATGTAAATTAAATTAAATTTTGAAAAATCAAATTTTCTCCTCTGATGTCTTAATTGAGCCATGAGTGAGCTGGAATGAAAAATCCAAAGTCATTTGGATTAAATTTGATAAACTATGAAGTAATAGAGCATTAGGGGCTAAAGTGTAATTTTGGAAATTTAGCCTTAATGAACATGTAGGCTTAATTCAAGGAGGGAAAATGGTAATCTCTGATTTTAACCAACATATTTGGATGATTGAAACACAAGAGTATTAGTTGGTAGAAACCAATCTCACTTCTGTTAATTAAATGACAAATTTGTAATTTCCTTAAATTATTAAAATTTGGAAGTCTAGTCAAATAAATGATCCTAGACTTAAGGGGTATTGTTTTGGGTGTTAATAACTCACTAATCAAATACCCCAATTTGGTG